AAATCCGAGGTTACTCATCAATATGCATTAGCCTGTCTGCAGGTAGCGCAAGAGTTGAACGTGCCGGTGGTCAATTTGTGGAAAGTGATTATGGACTTGGTAGAAGGAAATTCCGAATTTACTTTGAAAGATTATTTGAGTGACGGGCTACATCTAAGCTCCCTTGGAAACGAGGAAAGTGTGAACAACGTCAGGATTAAAATAATTCATTATTTCAAAGTGGAATGAAGAATTAACCAAATTGTTCTCTTTTCGTTATAGACTCTTTTTAAAGCATTAATGGAGGTTATTCTTGCTAATTGGCCAGAGATGGATCCGGAAAAACTTCCAATGATTCAACCTGTTTGGAGCGATGTCGATCCTGAAAACGGCAGTGAGATTTTCAAGTTTGACGATGAATTCATTTGTAACCGATTTAAATAACTGTTTTGATGATGATTTAACCTGAAATAGTTTGAACTTAAACCCGAATGTGAACTTTACAGTAACATGATCTTTCAAAAAGGTCAAATGAAATGCAACAGATTTTTTCCTTCGATGATTTAACCTGAAATAGTTTAAACTTAAACCCGAATGTAAACTTTACAGTTACATGATCTTTCAAAAAGGTCAATGAAATGTAACAGATTTTTTCCTTCGATCACCTTTCTCATATACGTGGACATTCAAACATTGAGCTCTCCAAAAAATAAATTAAAAACCAAAGTTCAAACTTATTTACAATCGTATTTTTATTGGTTTCATGTATTAAAATTTTTTGATATTAAAATCTTTTGTTTTTTGTTCTATCACCGAATTAATTAAATTACTATTGTAAACTTATTTTTCTAAGCCACGCCAAACATCCAGAAAGGTGGTATGCCTCGCTCCCGTGATTCTTTCCCTATTCCCAAGGTGTTATCTAATATTTTCCGCTCATCTTTATGTCCAACACTTTCCAGATTTTCGTTCATCAACTTCATTTTGTCGTCGAAATTCTTTATATATTGCTGGAAGTAATCGTGTTCATCACCATGTTCATGACGTATCCCCAATCGCTTGTCATCACTTTCGTGAGCTGCCTGAGCTATGGATATTAATGGCTTTAATATGAACACATCATTTTCGGTGAAGCTCAAGGATGACATCTGCGGCGTTACACTGTCACCACTTGAATCCACAGTTTCCGTTTTCATGCCGTCCTCATCATCCTTCTCGTTTATATTGGCTTCATCCAAATTGTAATCGCGAACACCATTGATATTGCTATTATTAATGATATATTCTAATGTACTCTTGCGATTGGAGTATTTGCCCATGTGTCCCATCATCACTGTCGACAATTTCAATCCTTTCGTCTTATAACCCCACAGGTCACTGCCTATTCCCACATTCTGAATTAACCGTGCGGTCAGCATCCAGTACTGAAGATTTAAACTCGAGTATCGAAACTTTTCGTTCTCATACATCAGACAACTATTTATCGCTTCATTGGAAGTTTTCGGAGCGGTATTGTATGCATTTGCTTTTCGAAGAGCAATCTGTTCCTTGGCGTATATCATTTCATACGGTTGAGATATCTTTGAT